ATTCAATCATTTGGAACTTCCTAAAGAACTGTAATTCATTCAGCAGTAACGGCGCTCCATGCAGTCATGCTGGCCACATGACCTTGGAGGTGTATACGGACAACGCCGGCTCTTCGGCTTAGAAATGGAGATGACCACTTCACTCCAGAGTTGGACATGACTGGACTTAATATCAGGGGGAAACCTTTACCTAAAGAACTATAATTCATTCAGCAGGCTCTTTTACTTTCGCCCTCTGAAGTTCCTTTGCTTCCTAATTGCTACTTTAAGATCAGAGACAAAGTATCCTAGGAGTATTCTTCCCCTAGGTTTTGAATACTGTACTGTTTAATGCCAAATAATTATTGTTTTGTATATACATGGACATTAGAAGGAGCTCTGGTTTACATGATAGTGGGAATTTGGGTTTATGATTAAATTCATTCTTTCAGAACAAGCAAATGCTGGGGAATTATGCTACACCCATATTTCCTAATGAAAATACAGGACATAATACCTGCAGGAACAGGAATCTTAATTGTACAACCCCTTTCAGAAACATCGGGCCAATCCCTTTGAGTATGAATAAGCATGGAAAAATGCATTAAGAGAATTTAAAAAGCCAAATATTTCAAGATTATTAATGAAAGGTGCATTTTACTGCCTATTTTTTGTTTATGAGTTTTATTTTATTGTTTTGTATTACTGATGTTGTTTTTGCTGATGTATTGTGGGCTCAGCCTCATGTAAGCCGCACTGAGTCCCTTGGGGAGATGGTACAAATAAAGTTATTATTATTATTATTATTATTATTATTATTATTATTATTTTGATCTTCTAGTTTCTCATTATTGGGAGGAAATTATAAGGAGCATTTTTTCTTTTAATTATATGCAAGTAGATGTACATAACCTATATTTAATTTTTTTAAGTATGTAAAAACATACCCCAGAGCCCCAGAGTTTTGTTCCATTACAAATCAATTTTATTTTGGAGATTCATGTCCCTTCCTTTCATCCTAGTTTATTTCCTGGGTACACATGGCATTATCAAGGATTTTTCATCCTTATTTCTCAGGTCAGTTTAATCCAGTTTAAATATATCTCTACTGACCGTCTATTTCTATTATTTTGGAACTAGTGAAAATGGTCATCACCAGTAAACACAGTTATTGTTTCCAGGACACAGAAGACCAAGTGAGAGAAAGAGGAACGTTAGCAATGAAACACAATGGTTATCGTAATTAGCTAGTTTAATATTAATAAAGAACGTCAGCATGTTGGCTGTAACTCCTCCATAATTGTAAAGAAGGCTCTGTGGAAATGAAAAAATCAATTCTGTATGAGTTTAGATGTGGCATGTGATCAATAGGAGGGGGAACATAAATACAACCAGAGAGGAAGAGAAAACTGAGTATTTCAAGAAACAGTTTGGATGCAAACCTGAAGATATGCAGGTGAAATCAACACAAAAAGAACTGGAAAATCTCAACACTCCCAGGGACTTTCTACCTTTTTAAAAGAGACCATAGTCAGAAATGGAAATTTTTAGAACTGTGTTCCTTGTGAAAAAGAAACACCAGAAATGCATTTCCATGCAGAAAGAAAAATAAGTCTTACCACCTGATAGGGAACGTGTAAGGGACTGTAAGAATGACAGTGGAGAAATGTAATAGAAGAGAATTTCACATTCCTAATTATGAACATAGGATGGTTATTAAAACTAGTATTTTTTTAATGACATAAGAAGAATAAATTCTTAAATGGTGCCGTGGTGGTGCAGCGGGTTAAACTACTGAGCTGCTGGACTTGCTGATTGGAAGGTTGGTGGTTTGAATCTGCGAGGTGGGGTGAGCTCCCGTTGTTAGCCCCAACTTCTACTAACCTAGCACTTTGAAAACATATAAGTGTGAGTAAATCAATAGGTACTGCCTCGGTGGGAAGGTAATGGCACTCCATGCAGTCATGCTGGCCACATGACCTAAGAGGCATCTACAGACAACACCAGCTCTTCAGCTTAGAAATGTAGATGAGCACCACCACCCCACCCCCGAGTTGGACATTGCTGGACTTAATGTCAAGGAGAAACCTTTACCTTTACTTAAGAATAATTTAAAAATCCTTAAGGAAGTTGGACCATCTGATCCATTCTTCCTCAAATTTGTCTCCACCACCATTCTTCTGTCACATCTCTATTCTTTCTCTGTTTTCAGTTCTATAACATTTTTGCCCAAATGTTTTAAATTATTTTAAATGAAATCAGAACAACTGGGGCCTGCAACAAAATATTCAGGAATGCTCAGTCCTCATTGAATTATTTTGGGGAACTCCCTGTTTGGGGAAGGGAGGATTTCTGGAAATCATAGATTCATTCTCTTTCTGCTGAGACAATTCTCATGGATGAATGTAATTGTACATAGATGTATGCTAAGTTTTGTGCTTTCCTTTAATGGTGATAAATGTAACTTTCAGGGAAAATGTGTATGCAACCCTGATTAAAAAATATCCCTCCAATTGAAAGGTATTAACATTTTTTAAATGTAACCCGAGACTGTTATTACAGACAAACTACTCACTGAACAAAGGAAGGTTTGTATAGCAATAGGATATGTTCCTTCATCACCAAATATCAGCGGCTCATATGATTGGGGCAAACTGATTAAAGCCTATCTGATTTTCTCCCTATGGCTGGACTTCTTACTTGGAGTTCTTTTGATCCTGACACCACAATGGACCATCTTAAATCCTGAAACCAAAGAAAGGGACTGACTTGCCATATCATATTTATCTTCCCTGAGACAAGTAACTCCTTTTTCCTGTTGTTGTTTCTTCTCAACGTGAAAGTGACCGTTTGCCACTTGCAGATTTAGGAAAAGTGACTTCCTACCCCAGCCTGAAAGTCTCAGGAGGGCTGTAAATCTGGGTAAGCTACCTCTGCCGTAAAGCCCTACAGTATGCAGAGCTAGGGCCATATAGGGCTAGTGTCATAAACGGTACTGGCCCAGTTTACCTCTCCAAAAGTGTCTCCCTATATAAACCATCAAGAACCTTAAGATCGTCTGGGTAGGCCCTGCTCTCGGTCCCACCACCATCGCAGTCACATTTGATGGGGACAAGAGACAGGGCCTTCTCCGTGGTGGCCCCTCAGCTGTGGAACTCCTTCCCTAATAAGATCAGATCCATCCCCTCACTCCTGACTTTCTGAAAGAAACTCAAATGCTAGATGTGGAATCAGCCATTTGCAGAATAGACAACACTTTTAAAGGACAACAATGGATTGAGGATGACGATTTAAACCGGCAAATTGTTTTTAATGTATATTTATTATGGTTTTACTTGTGTTATTTTATGCTGTGTGTTATTCTGTGTTGACACTGAATAGTGCCATTTGTTAGCCGTCCTGAGTCCCTCCACAAAGGTCTAGAAGGGATACAATGCCTCAAATAAATAAATTTCAGTTAAAAATAAATGCATTGGCAGGTTGAGGAGACTGCCCTTCCCACTCAGAGTTTACATGAACCAAGTTGAATGGTACAGTGCCAGTTCATTTTTCCTTCAAGCTATGGACATTCACTGAATCCTTACAATTTATAGTAACAATTATAAGGAACACTGTAAGATTCCTGTATGAAAGGAGCCAAAGCAGTACAAACAACATGACAAACCTCAAACAAAAGATTCACACAACTGTGTGCAAGGAGTCTGTTTTGCTCTGTACAGGAAGTAATGCAAACCACAACTTCAGATCTTTTTGTTTTTCTCCCTCCTTGGGACTGGGAGAAAATAACTATCTGATCACAATCGGAAACTAAGATAACAACAGAAGGAGAAAATGGCGAGGGCCTTTAGAACCAGAGCTTTGGGCTACAACTCCTACAACCCTCCAGCCACCACTAGATGGACCTTTGGTGTTACTAAAGGACCTTATCAGACAGGGCTTAGGAAGTGTCCTAGGATGATTCCCCACCAGTCCAGCCACAGATGGGCAAGCTGCCCATCCCATGACATTGCTTGACTTTCAGTGGAAGTCCCACCCACAACTCGAGTGGAAGTGTAATATGGCACGTCCCTCCCAACATGGAAGCCTGCTCGTGTAGTACTGGCCCCACTGGAGCCAGCATGGATCCTCACCACACGGTCAACACTTTCCATGTGTGATGGAGGAAGTGTCACCGTGAGTGAGGGGTACATGGGGCAACCGATTCAGTCTTTTTGTTTCTTAAGCAAAGCAGGATGCTTGGACTGGCTCATGTGATAACGCTGTCACTGTTGAAGAGCTAGCCATCTTCTTAGTGGAAGGGAACTCAAGGGTGATCTTTCAATAACACAATTTCAAAATAGCTGCAAGTTCACAATATACTTCAAAATCAGTGATACTAGAATGCAAATGATTCTCAACTTTAATCAACACAGATATAAAAGAAAGATGGGCAGAAAGTGCATGAAGATCTACCAGTAGGTTTCTGATCATATGCAGAGGATTGTGAGAGATTTCTGACTCCTAATGGTTCATCAGGAGCCCCCGGAGATGCAGTGGGTTAAACCCTTGTGCCGGGAGGACTGAAGACCGCCAAGTCGCAGGTTCTAATTTGGGGAGAGCACGGATGAGCTTCCTCTGTCAGCTCTAGCTCCCTATACAGGGACATGAGGGAAGCCTAATACAAGGATGGTAAAACATCAAACATCCGGACGTCCCCTGAGCAACATCCTTACAGACAGCCAATTCTCTCACACCAGAAGTGACTTGCAGTTTCTCAAGTAACTCCTGACATGGAAAAAAAGTAGTAACAACAAAATAACTAACAGCCCCATTCCCCCACCCTTTCCTCAAATTATGGCATATGGCTGAAATGAAAAAGAATGAGAATTGATCTTGTCTACTCTAGATGTAAGCATCAAATGTTTTGCTTGGCAGTGGGATATATATATATCGAACAGCTATTCAAACCCAATTTGCAGTAATGTTGTTATCAATGCAGTGTGAATACGTTTATATAAATCATCTGCAGGTTGCCGTCCTACCTTTGCTTCTTCATTGACATCCCAAGTAAAGGAAACAGCATTATAGGCGATTTCTTCAATATTCCCAATGGTATGGAAGCTCTCTTTGTAATCAGCTGTAATAAATCGAATAATGCTTTTGTAAAACATGTTTTCTTTTAAGGCACGGGCAAATTTTTACAACCCATGTTTCTTGGGTTGAAGCAAGAAACAGGCATGGACAAACTTTGGCCCTCCAGGTGTTTTGGACTTCAACTCCCACTATTCCTAACAGCCTCAGGCCCTTTTCTTTTCCCTCTCAGCCGCTTAAGTGGCTGAGGGAAGGGTCTGGATGAGGCTGCCCCCCCCCCCCCCCCCCTTTTTTTGTTAGGAATTGTGGGAGTTGAAGTCCAAAACACCTGGAGGGCCAAAGTTTGTCCATGCCTGGGTTGAAGTGTTGTGGATTTTATATGATTTGCTCAGCTATAGGCTTTGTCAGCTCTACTAGAACAAACTTCCTGCTCATTTAACCACGACACAACCAGATTTTAAGTACCTTCTGCCAACTCTTTGTTGGGAGTTTTATGTTATAGAAAGAAACGTGTGCCCCAAATCTCTACGAATGTGGGCTGGTTGTACTATTATAATGAAAAATCATTAAATTAAAAATACAGTGTAAAAGAATTTAAAATTTAACATGAAGATAATAGAAATTGTTCCACAATCTGTCTTTTTAAAAAGTCTACATAAAATGCTCTTTTATCTTGTAGATAACAGCACAGGAAGCTTGCAGGCCTGATCGAAGATGCCCGAGGGACAGAACATCTGAAACACTGGCCTTGTGGACTCTTCCTTTTCATCCTCCTATAAAAGTCAAGTCTCGCTTTCAAAAGTTCCAGGGAACTCTGTGCCCCGAAGTGCTTTAGACATTCCAAGAACGTCGTTTCACTTGTCCAGGCAGCATCCCAGCCAACAGTACAGACAAGCTGGCAAATATTTTCCACTGAAATCTGAGTGATTTCTGTCACGTAAATAATGGTTACAGATTTGTTTCCTGACTACAGGCCACTTTTTCATTTTTAAAAGAAACGCAAAGAAATGGGCTTTTCCATGAGACAGTGAAGACATTTCTGTTTATGTTGACTGTGAGATCAACATGTGTTAATTGTGGATTTATTTTAAATAGGAATGTTTAAATTGCTTGGGTTTTGAAAACTCCACAAAAATTATGGAAATATCTGAATTCTATGGAAACCCAGTGTAGTGAATAAAGGCTCCCCAAATATTTCTCATTATAAAGGTAAAGGTTTTTCCCCAGACATTAAGACCAGTCGTGTCCGACTCTGAGGGGTGGTGCTCATCTCCATTTCTAAGCCGGAGAGCCAGTGTTGTCCATAGACACCTCCTAGGTCAGCAGACCAGCATGACTGCATGGAGAGCCATTACCTTCCTGCCGGAGCAGTACCTATTGATCTACTCACATTTGCATGTTTTCAAACTTATAGGTTGGCAGAAGCTGGGGATAACGGCGGGAGCTCACCCCACTCCTCAAATTTGAATCGGTGACCTTTTGGTCAGCAAGTTCAGCAGCTCAGCGGTTTAACCAACTGCACCACTGAAGCTTAATGATGGGAGATTTAAGAAGCATAAAAATACTTTTTCAAAGAGTACATATATGAACATGGATTAGGCCAGCCATGGGCAAACTTCAGCCCTCCAGGTGTTTTGGACTTCAACTTCCACAATTCCTAACAGCCGGTAGGGGAACTCAGAGTGGCTTACAGGGGAATTCAGAGTGGCTTACAAATTACGGCAAACATTCAATGCCACTGGGTTGTTGTAGGTTTTTTCGGGCTATATGGCCATGTTCTAGAGGCATTCTATCCTGACGTTTCACCTTCATCTATGGCAAGCATCCTCAGAGGTAGTGATGATGCTTGCCATTGATGCAGGCGAAACATCAGGAGATAATGCCTCTAGAACATGACCATACAGCCCGAAAAAACCTAGAACAACCCAGTGATTCCGGCCATGAAAGCCTTCGACAATACATTCAGTGCCACGTCATAGACACAACAATAAAAAAATACCATATCAAATTATAAAACAGTTAAAACATATAAACAGTTAAAACATAAATACAATAAAACAGATTAAAACATACATAGTGCTGAGACTTGATTTTTCCTACTTATTGATTTTCCCATAGTCATTATTCAAATTGCTAGATTGAGGTCAACTTCCATATTACCCTACTCCCCAAACGCCTATGTACAAAAACAGGTCTTTAACTTTTTCCTGAAGACCAGGAGGGATGGGGCCAATCTGACATCCTTGGGAAGGATGTTCCACAGCCAAAGGACCACCACTGAGAAGGCCCTGTCTCTCGTCCCCACCAGTTGCACTTGTGAAGGGGGTGGGACCGAGAGCATGGCCTCCCCAGCAAATCTTCAAGCTCTAGTTGGCTCATAAACGGAGATGCATTCGGACAGGTAAGTTGAACTAGAACCATAGTTTGCCTATTGCCCCTGAGAAAGATCATTGAAATATATATAGAGAGAGAAATATGCTGGGCTTTTTCTAAAATGAAAAAAAGAAAAATTAAGACTGAGCTCTTGGAGAAATATTTTCCCCTTTTTTTCTTGTGGCCTCCCAACTGTATGATTCCTTTTTTTCTATGTAAAAACTACAAGTTAAATCCAAAGTGCAGTAGAATCAATAAAATCAACAAGATCTACATAAGTGGTGACTAATTCATTCCAATGGGGTATTCTCTATTTGGAAGTAATGCTCGATTCAGCCCCATGGCTACCTAAGGTTTCCAGAAGCAGAAATTGAGATGAGACCAAAAACTGAAAATAAATACTCCAAAAGAAGTAGCCAACTGTGCCCAATTTTTATAGCCGGAGGGCAAAGGGAAGGCGGAGTATGACAGTATCCTTCAAGTATGTAACATAATGTGATGAATAGTAAGAAAGAACCATGAAGACTAAGGAAGCAGAACCACCACGCCTTTGGCACTTAAGACACAACAAGTGTGCAAATTCTGACAAGCAGTTCAAACTAGAAAAGAAGGAATCATGTACAAAGAAGAGAGCAAAGGTTTAAGCAACAAGGGAGGCAGAAGAAGTGCCTCCAATTCTGAAGCCTATTTCTGTGAAGAACACTGGCAATTTCCCCAAAGGAACAATACATTAAAGGAGCAGGAGGAAATGCAATGATGTGGGAGGAGGCAATAATACAAAAAACTTAAAGCTGCAAACCTACTTTTTGAAAAAACTTTGTTTTATCTTTTAAAAATTCATTATAGTATGAGCTCCTGAATTTTTATTTCCCTTTCTCAAAGCATTCTTCATTGCACTCTCTTTCTACAAACATACTCAACCAGTTGTACATTGAACATTAAGGAAGGCTGAGCGAAGGAAGATAGATGCTTTTGAACTGTGGTGTTGGAGGAAAATTCTGAGAGTGCCTTGGACCCCAAGAAGATCCAACCAGTCCATACTCCAGGAGGGAAGGATATTGGACGCAAAGATGAAGCACTTTGGCCACATAATGAGAAGACAGGAAAGCTTGGAGAAGATAATGATTCTGGGGAACATAGAAGGAAAAAGGAAGAGGGGCCAACCAAGGGCAAGATGGATGGATGGGATCCTTGAAGTTAACGGCTTGACTCTGAAGGAGCTGTGGGTGGTGATGGCTGACAGGGACCTCTGGGGTGGACTGGTCCATGAGGTCACAAAGAGTCGGAAGCGACTGAACGAATAAACAACAAAAGAAATCTGAAATTATGAGTCTCCACTGGCAAATCAGGGCCATTGGACTCATACTGCCACTACTGTGGCTTACATTGGAATCATACTGTTAATACTATTGTAATTATCATTCGATTTGTTTACCAATATATTTACCAAGTGATGGAGAAAGATAATAGAGAGAAAAATGACTGATAGGGAAAGGCAGTGTTAAATGAGCCTGTAGAAAGGATGAACATCAGGTTAAACAGTTACAAATAGGTCCACATGAGATACCCTCCAACTGTCCCAATTTGGCAGCAATAATCCCCTGTCAGCCAACTTTTGTGTCTGCTTTTTAAACGATCTAGTTCCTTTCTCCTCCTTCCCCCACTGTCCCCCAATATCCTTGGCTTACTTCTATGATAGCAAACCGAATTCAAAGTGCACAGGTATCCTGTTTTCCCAAAAATAAGAATATTAATTTTTGCTCCCAAAGATGCACTAGGTCTTATTTTCAGGGGATGTCTTATTTTTCCATGAAGAAGAATTCACATTTATTGTACAATAGTTGTCAGTATGTAATAAAAGTACTGGCCCTCACACACAGGGCCACACAAATTAAGGGCTATAAAGTTTTTGGCTCCCACACACTCTCTGAAGACTGTAACAATTTCTCACAGGAGTTCCTGGACCACTCATACAGCAGGGACCGTATGCTTCTGGCCACAATGGGGAGCATGCTTCCAAACAAAAACTTTGCTAGGTCTTACTTTCGGGGAAGGCTTTATATTTAGCAATTCAGCAAAATCTCTACAATTGGAAAAGAGCGGAGGACCAGGAATACTGAGCGCTTCCCAGTAGGATCAGGCAAAAGCAAACTGCTGGTATGTTCCTCCTCATTAACCTATGACATCTTAATCACATCCTCACGTTGCTTGGTTACCTGCTTCTGAGTTTTCATCTGTGAAATGTTGGAAGATATAGAAACTGTTGACAACTGTCCTACTAGAGCATACTGATGCATACAGTGACACAGATGAGTTGGCACATGGTCACCTGGTTACCCCCAAATGAAATGTTTCTAAAAGTGCTCATTCTTGTTTCTTATATAACAAAAGGTACTGCTGAAGACAGATGTTCCCACGAGTATTGTCTCACTCACCGATGTCAAGGACCCTCTGTTTGGCTGTGTGTTGCCGGGAATGCCAGTACTTCCAGTGCTTCAGCTGTTCGTCCCGATTTTTATCTTCACTGAACACAACCATAATCACACTCTGGAAAGACCATGGAAGTATTATCAAATAATGGACAAAAGCAAAAATGCTTAAACAAAACATTGTTAAGCATTTTGAATTCTACTCAATCACATGCTAAATGCATTTTGTTATTATTTTTCTGAGGAAAGGATAAACTAGTAAGACCCCACCCCATACCCCGAGACATAAGTAAGGGGAGAACTGTTAAGTTTAGGCCACATAGAGTGTGAACATGGCCCCAGCTTGGAAAAAAAGTGAGATCTAAATTAATTAGTTGTTATTTTGACAACCTGGGTGCCAGACAAACTGCCTTTTGAGTGATTGTGACTTCTGTTGTTAAAAAATAACCAGTTGTTTTAATTCTGGTGCCTCAATGTGGAACACGCCTCTAGGAGGTGCTTTCAGGACACTAAATGTTCAAAAACATAATAAAAAGTTTGTTTTAACTAAAAATTGTCAGTAGTTTTTGGATCTTTTACATGCTCTTATCTTAATTGCTTTTTGTAGATTTTTCTTTTTTTATATAACACTGCATTTTCTCATATTTGTTTCACTGTTTATAAGTTTTTCTGGGAGAGCTTTTCATATGAAGGATGACATGTAAATATTGCAAATACTTCCAATATTTCAAAAGCATATTGAAATAAATATTTCAAATAAATATTTGAAAGATACAGTTAGCAGTCTATAACATTTTTCTACAGGATGTTTTTGCAATAAAACCTGCTTTTACTACATGCCTCGTAACTATTTTGGACAGAAATGAGTTTCTATTAAAAAGGCTGCTCTCATGTAAACTAGATTCAGAAAGGCAGTGTGAAAGGAAACGGATAAACAAACAGTGCAATAAGGCAATAATAGGAAATCCACTCTGCTGACCGGAGCCAGCATGGTGTTATGAGTTGGTTTTAAACAATTGATTTAAAAGTAGATGTAACTGATTTTAGTGTTTGTGTATATTTATAGTTATTTTATGTTCCGGCATAGAATGCGTATGGTATATATGTTGTGCTTCGCCCTGAGTCCCCTTCAGGGTGAGAAGGCAGAATATAAATGTTTCAAATAAATAAATAAATAAATCAACACACACACTTCTGCAATTATATTCTTGAGGTCATAAAAGTTCAGCCATACCCTGACTTTGCTGATGGGATGTCTGAAACACTTGTTGTCCCCCGTCTCTGTCAAGGTTATGGCATAAAACTGTCCTTTGTTCAAGTAGGTCATTGGGCCTTCTCCTTGCTTTTGACGTAGCGATTTGGTGGCTTCTAAAGTATACCGAAATGTGCTGCTGTATAAAGAGAGGAAGACCAAAATACTCTAATACATGTTTTTTCTCCAAAATAAAAGTAACAAAAGCACAATGCACTTACAGCCAGATGTTAGAATCGCTTAATAATCCCTACCTGCACAGCTAGAAGCACAGCCATATAAATGGCCATAGCCAAAACCAAACCAAATGCAATGGCTACTGTATTGTGCTGGAGCAAGATAATCCAAATGAAATGTTTTGTAAACCAAGTGTAACTCCACTGTTTGACAGAGAAGGCACTTTTCTGTATCCCACTAATGGTGGAAACACATTTCTCCTCAGTCCCCTGGCTGTTATCATAGAATCAAAGAGTTGGAAAAGATCTCATGGGCCATCCAATCCAACCCCCTGCCAAGAAGCAGGAATATTGCATTCAAATCACCCCTGACAGATGGCCATCCAGATTCTGTTTAAAAGCTTCCAAAGAAGGAGCCTCCACCACACTCCGGGGCAGAGAGTTCCACTGCTGAATGGCTCTCACAGTCAGGAAGTTCTTCCTCATGTTCAGAGGGAATCTCCTCTCTTGTAGTTTGAAACCACTGTTCCGCGTCCTAGTTTCCAGGGAAGCAGAAAACAAGCTCCCTCCCTCCTCTCTGTGGCATCCTCTCACATATTTATACATAGCTATCATATCTCCTCTCAGCCTTCTCTTCTTCAGGCTAAACATGCCCAGCTCTTTAAGCTGCTCCTCATAGGGCTTGTTCTCCAGACCCTTGATCATTTTAGTCGCCCTCCTCTGGACACATTCCAGCTTGTCAATATCTCTATTGAATTGTGGTGCCCAGAATTTATTCACAAACTTATATTTAAAATGTTGCATGAAATTGCCTTCAGGATACATGTATAAGGTTTATGTGAAACATAATTAATTTTTGAATTGAGACTCGGGTTTTTCTCTAGATAGCTCATAATGTAAGTACCATATATTCAAATTCAGGTATTCCAAAACCCATAAAAAATACAAATTACAAAACATTTATGGCCCCAAGCATTTTGAATAAGGGATTCTCAAACTGTGCTTTGCCACTTTTAAAATATTCTCCTTATAGCTGGAGGCAATGCAGATAACGCTTTTGTAATTCAATCTGTAGAGTGAATAGACGATAAAGCTCATTTTGCCCCCTGTGTATCAGCAGTTTGAATCTGGGGAGAGCGGGTTGAGCTCCCTCTGTCAGCTGTAGCTTCTTATGCGAGGACATGAGAAAAGCCTCCCACAACAATGGTAAAACATCAAACATCTGGCCGCCTCCTGGGCAATGTCCTTGCAGACTGCCAATTCTCTCACACCAGAAGCGACTTGCAATTTCTCAAGTTATTCCTGACACATACACACAAAATTTGTACAGTGGAAGAAGGCAAAAAGTGGAGTTTTTAAAGGTGCGTATTGAGTTTTTTTAACTGTCCTAAAGTCAAAAGTAAGTGGTGAAGTGATCACAACATGGTTTATTCAAAGTAGTATCAACAAAAAAGAGAATGCAAAGAGCTTCGAATGTATCTCTCCAAAATGGGCAAACAACTAATAAAATGGCAAATGGGTTTCAAAGTAAATAACTGTAAAAGGATACATACTATGCAAACATGTATACACTGATGGTATCTGAGCAGTCAATGACTGCCAAGGAAAAGGATCCTGGGCTTGTAGCAAATAGGACAACTACAAAATCCAAGCAGTGTGTTGTTAGCCATGAAAAAGGCAAAATTTATGTTAGGCATAATTAGGATAGGGACTGAAAATTGCCTGTGGTGTAATACAGCTGTACAGATCTATAGTGCTGCCATATCTGAACCTTTGTTTAAAGTTTTGACCACTGTATCTCAAAAAGAGAATGATGTGGAGCTGAAAAAATACAGAGGCATTCAAAAATTACATTTAGAAAATAGATGTTGCTTTTAAACAAAAATCATACATGATGTGCTAAATGTGCATACAGAGAAGTTGTCCCCCTCACTGAACATCATAACCCAAACCTGACAAACAATGCTAAATGAGGATAGATAGGTGTATATATTTCTTCATGTATCTGCATAGTCAAATTATTAAATTCACTACCATCTGATGTAGAGCAGGCTGGCAAACTGGACAATCTCATGGAAGGAAATGCTGTATGCTAAGAAGGCCTGTGGTTTTAGTCCTGGGTTATGACTTTGGAAATGAATTCCCTGCTCGGTTCCAGAAATCTGTATGATATGATTTAATTTAGGGTGTCATGAATCAGGAATTATTTGAAGGTACTGCTGTAAAGTTAAAGGCATAATTTTACAATTGTTTATCTTGAATCCCCATTTGCCATTTTGCAGCCCATTTCTCCTACACCAAGAAATAATGTTTTTACATTTCTCTATAATCCTATCCTATGTTGTATTCGCCATAGATAAAAGAACTGGCGATACAGACACGGTTTGCCCTTCTGTTATTATTTCCCAGCTGGCGCTCTTTTCCATGGAGCAATTCACACTGGTGTGTAAATGTAGCCACCCTGTGTACAGAAGCAGCCATGCATTTCCACCTGATTGTCACTCTTTTTTCTTGAGGAGAGGGCAATGAGGAGAAGATAATGGGAGTTTTACAAAATTACAACAGCACAACAGAGAGGAAATAAACAAGGACATCTAATCACCTCTCAACAAAAGTTTGCTCTAGGCACTGTCAGGCCATTATATGCTAATCAAGGTGGTCAGTTGAAACATTCACACCTAGCTCCAGCAGACAAGAGTCCTTTGTCCCACCCTGGTCATTCCACAGATATATAAACCCTTTTTCCTAGTTCCAACAGACCTCACTACCTCTGAGGATGATTGCCATAGTTGCAGGTGAAACCTCAGGAGAGAATGCCTCTAGAACATGGCCATATAGCCCGAAAAACCTACAACAACCCAATGGGAGTTTTATCCCACCCGCCCCTTATCAATGGAAAACAATGCAACCTCATAGATTTGTAACCTAGGGAAACTCATTATTTTGTGTATCTGTGCCTGCATTTTTGTGAACAGACGCACAATCTTTGGTCTAGGAGTTTCAATTAGTAGCAGGAATAATGTGAAGAAAAAAATCCAATTGGGCAGGTATAAGTCCAGTGTATACATTTTTTCACTAAGTGACATAAATACTATAGTGACCACTTCAGTGTGGCAGGAGGCAATTGTAATACTATGTTTTCAGGCGTATTTGTAATTATTGCCCCTTGAATGACACACTCAATTTCAGATCTGTCTTCAATGGAGAAGTATAGTAGCAGTTCTGATACTATTATCACAGTGAACCAGTAAAGGATATCAACGTGGAAATTCTGAATCAGAGGACCAAAATGTCCTGAATAAAAGACCTGACCACTAATTATAGAATAAATAAAGCCAGAGTACAGCCTGCCATGTACTTTACCCTGCAGTTTTTATAAATTCACTGTTCCCAATATTCAGCTATTGCTATAACTTACTTGGCTGTCTGTTCATAAATATATTCCTCGGGCCCCACAGAACCACTGCGATATTTCTGCAAGAAGGAGAATAAGCATGCATTAAAAGTAGGCAGGGTTACCAGTTCAGGACTGCCTCAAGCCATGTGGCTTCCAGGCCAAAGCTTGAGATTAGAGAGTGCTCCCAGTAACATTATTAAACATTGTAAGTGTTGCGCTCACAATTTGTCATGGAAACACATGTACACAGAGAACATGTTTTCCTGTTTAGAAATTAAAGCAGACATCTTAACTGTTTTAATCAAGAAATAATTGAGATTTTCTTAGACTGACTAAAAAACATTTAATTCAGCCGACATGCTTTTAGACTGAAAGTGGATGCAGGGCAGAGTGATGGTTGGGTCTGGTGCTGAAGTGGATGGGAAGGAAGAGGAAGCAAATACACAGTCTTCCTCTAGAGCAGGCAAACTTTGGCCCTCTAGGTGGGATTTCTGGGAGTTGTAGGCCAAAACACCTGGGGACCCACAGGTTGAGAACCACTGTCTTAGGGCATATCCATACTGCACAATTGCAGAAGTTTGGTATCATTTTAAGTGTCATGGCCCCATCCTTTGGAATTTGGGGTTTGTAGCTTATCCAAGGATTTGGACTCTTTTGCCAGAGAGCACAGGCCAATGAACACAAACTAAAGTCTCAAGTGCCTGATTCTAGTACAGAATGAAATTGATTCAGTTCTAAGTCTTATCTCTTTTCAAGGTACCTTAGTATCTTCTGAATAGCTCCATGGGAGGGAGGGATAGCAATAAAGTAGTATCAAACTACTATAATTATGTAGTGTGGATGTACCCTCAGTCTAATTTGTAATCTCATAGGCTTGTTCTACAGGGAGAAAATGGGAGAACTGTTCAGGACCTGTTTGTGGGGGGAAATACATGTGACTAATAACTAAATAAGACTTCCACACCAGAGATGTCCAACCAGTGAACATACCTCTGCCCCTCCATCTTTAAAAGTATCACTGTAGGTACTATCCGGAGTGCTTCGCTGATCATCTTTTGCATAAGTCGAATGGGCTGTGATGCTTGGCACTTCATAATGCGCATGTTCAAATATAACACCTCTATGTTCTTCATTTTCTCCTCGGGCGTAATGCACAGATGGAGCCATATAAATAGGAGTGTACTCTTCGGCTTTCACTACCATAACTCCTGTCACAGAAATGGAGGTTGGGCTTCCAGATACATTCGAATTAAACTGCTCCCTTTTGGAAATATCCAGCTGCTCCTGGTTCAAAGAAAGGTTGACCGGCACAGTCTTCAAGACTTGCACTCTGTTTTCACCATTGTTGCTGAGGTTACTCTGAGTTTCGTTGGTGGGAAGACAGTTTCTGAGTGGAAAAAGGTAAACAAAGAGGTCATGCACTTCGTTTTAAGTACAGTAAAGTCTCACTTATCCGACCTGCGCTTATCCGACATCTTATCTTATCCAACGCTCTTATCTGACACCCCCCCTTTTCCTCCAGCATTTCTTCAATTAAAGTAGGGCATTTCCCCTTCAATTAAATTAGGCAAGACGAGGAGGAGAAGGAGGAGGAGGAGGAAGGAAGGAAAGGGGGAAAAGAGGCCAGACTGGAAGCGGAAGCGTCCTCCCCCTTCCCTCTGTGATTTCCACACTCCTCTTCCATATCCAGGCACTTCCTGCTGGGCCACTCTAGTTCCAATGTAAAGAAAATGGTTTCAATAGCAATTAACAATTCAAAAACAATTTATACAGGATTATATACATAACACAACAACAAGTAATCCCGGGTACAATATTCTTGTTTCGGAGATCCTTCTTCAGGTTGTAAATGTGTTATGTACGGGATTACTTGTTGTTGTGTTATGTATACGGGATTACTTGTTGTTGTGTTATGTATATAATCCTGACAGCTGTGTTTTGTATATAAATTTGACATGTGTGCTATTTTCCTTTTGATATTTATGTAGACTACATGTCTAGGAATTAAAGTATAGTAACAATTAGAACCCAGTTGGAACTGTAAGGCAAGAATAAAAATTGTTTTTGAATTGTTAATTGCTATTGAAACCATTTTCATTAAAATGTTATATAGATATCTGTGCATAATAGATATTTTGCCTACACCACTCTAGTCCCAAGGCATTGTCTTGTCTTTGAGTCCCTGTTGTTAATATTCTAGGCGCTTAACGCTGTGTCAGATGGGTAACAGTAGGAGACTCCATATTATCCGACATTTTCATTTATCCGACGTTCTGCCGGCCTATTTATGTCGGGTAAGCAAGACTCTACTGTACTCTCAAAACGATGTGTTGTCAAGATATCCCAATCCTTTTGGGTCAGTGGGCATTTGGGATTTTGAGAATATGTTGTGGATCTGGGAAGCAGTAGTAAGAAAGGGAAAAACTTCCGTAAACTTCCTTAAATTAACTTATTTTGCTTTCAAAATTAAGTACATGAATATTGAAGCCATCATGTTTTGACCAAGTTGGACTACAATCATATAAATGCTGATGGTTTGCATGACAAAATTTCTACTAGACATATTGAAATATTGTTATGTGGTGGGTGCAGATGGAAATGGAAGGGCATTTTTCTAATTCCCACAATTATTTGACAGAAGAATCATTTGTATTCTTACAAGAATAAACCAGACTTTTTATTCATTCCATTGATTTTGACTTAGATGTACTTCTTTAACAAGATTCCCCTCACGTTCAGTCCTCCAATCATAGGAACTGGAAACAAAAACTGACACATGGCATTCAGGCATGGGCAAACTTCAGCCCTCCAAGTGTTTTGGACTTCAATTCCCACACCTTGGTAGGCTGTTAGGAATTGTAGGAGTTGAACTCCAAAACACCTGGAGGGTCGAAGTTTGCCCATGCCTACTGTAGACTCTAATTACATGAGTCATTGTGGGGACATAATATCACAACATGTTGGGAAAGTAGCTGCTTTACTTGCAGACTTCAATAATCATCACAATTTCTCTTTTGTTTTTCCAGCTTCTTTTTTTTTAAAAAAAAAAAACAAACCCTTGCTATATTTATTTTGAGTTCTGTGCCACAGCTGTTTTCTTAACAGCCTCCTCTTCATTGCGTTTTTTGGGAATTAGAGGTGGGAGGGTGAGAAGGATGATGATCACAAGGCATCATGCTTCTTTTCTATCCATCCCCAGTCAGATTGTTTATATGCATTTTCTTGATGAGCTACTTTCAAAAATATTGTACCTTTTATCTTGGTCTTCTTGATTATCGCTCACTTTATTAACAGACAACGATCTCGTCTTGTCTTTGGGAATCTGGAACAACAGGATACTCATTGAATAAGTATGACAGCAATGGTTACTTGTAAAGGAAAAAAAATATTTTCCCAAGTCCAGAAATAATTTTGATAGCAGAGCTGATGGCTGGCAGGCCACATTTAACTCCCAGGATTTCCAAGCAAGTCTTTCAAGTGAAGGCTAACAGACAGAAAGAAAAACCTTAGACCAGTAGTTCTTAACCTTCCAAATGCCACGACCCCTTAATACAGTTCCTCATGTTGTGGTGACCCCCAACCATAAAATTACTTTTGTTGCTACTTCATAACTGTAACTTTGCTACTGTTATTAATCATAACATAAATATCCGATATGCAAGATGTATTTGTATTCACTGGACCAATTTTGGCACAAATACCCYATAAGTCCACATTTGAATACTGGTGGGGGTGGGAGGAGGGGAATGGACTGATTTTGTCATTTGGGAGTTGTAGTTGCTGGGATTTATAGTTAACCTACAATCAAACAGCATTCAGAACTTCACCAATAATGGAATTGAACCCAACTTGGCACACAGAACTCCCATGATCAAGAAAAAATACTGGAAGGGTTGGGTGGYCATTGACCTTGAGTTTTAGAGTTGTAGTTCACCTACAACCAGAGAGCACTGTGGACTAAAACAAAGATGGATCTGGACCAAACTTGGCATGAATACTCAAGATGCCCTAATGTGAACACTAGTGGATTTTGGGGGAAATAGACCTTGACATTTGGGAGTTGTAGTTGCTGGGATTTGTAGTTCACCTACAATCAAAGAGCATTCTGAACCTCACCAACAATAGAATTGGGCCAAACTTCCCACACAGAACCCACATGACCAACAGAAAACACAGTGTTTTCTGATGGTCTTTGGTGACCRCTCTGACACCCCCCTCATGACCCCCCAGGGGTCTCAACCCGAGATTGAGAAATGCTGCTTTAGAGGAATACCATAAAATATAGGTACATTCATGTAGGAGAATGCAACCCTTCAAATAATCTGATCCCAAACTATTATGGATGGATATAATAATAATTGAGTCTGCACATGTAATAGGAACCAGAATAACATGTACAATGCAAGTTTAAATTGCTCGAGGAAGCAGTTTTCTAGGAAGCCAAAGGATTAAACACCGGCTTCATACCTTATAATAATCATACAGTAATCCAAGCGCAGCAGCACTATCCTCATCTCCATTTATGCTCATCATAGCCTTGGTAGCCGCTGTTAAGGGATTCTCCAGATAGGATTTCCAAGCTTCATCTTCACTGGTATACGCCCTTCTGGTATTGAATGCTGCATCACTCGGCACTATGGTCACAAGCCGGTTTTTACTGTGGGTTAAAGACAGACACATATACATAAAAACATGCAAGGTTACGCAAAAGACTATCTCAAAGCTGGATACTGACTTGATGAGGATCCACTACAGTCCAGACAGACTACACTGGTATTCTGTTATTGTTATATTTAAAACTTGGACCATGTGCTTGCAATCTTAATGCTATAATGCATGTGGTATACATAGATGTAATTTTGTATACAATACATTATACTGAAATTATATATTGAGGCTTGTGGTTTGGTCATTGTAACTACTCATTCAGTGTAATACTGTCTGTTCCAGTGGTCCTCAAACCATTCCTTTCACTCTTCAAATGCTTTTGACCAACTCACAGACTTTCATCTCCTTTGCCAATCTAGCTCGGCTTCTAGAAACTGGAGTCCAAAAAACTGGGAAGGACATAAATTGATAACTTATGGCCTGCTCTGAATCATGGTGGTTTTCCAGTTTTTCAAATAAAGGTTATTTCCATAACTTGCTATTTGATGCTTTTAACTAGAGATGCCAGTGTCTGGATTTAAATCTGAACTCTACCCTGTATCTCTATATGCAAGGCTTGTCCTCTCTTTTGAGGTAGAGTCCCTTAATGGTCTTACCATACATCAAGGGAATCACTGACCACACAGGGAAGCTGATGAAGAAACACAACCTACAAACTATCTACAGACCGACTGAGAAAACAAATGCTACGTTCACCAAAGGACAAGAGGGATCATCTCACCTCTGCAGGAGTCTACCATATATCATGCAGCTGTGGACAAGTACACATAGGGACCACCAAACGCAGCATTGCCCGAACACCAATCAAGGAACATGAAAGGCACTGCAAACTAACTCAGAGAAGTTAGCCGTAGTAGAGAACTTGGTGAACCAGCCTGGGCACAGCATATTATTTGACAACACAGAAATGCTGGATTACTCTAACAACCACCATGTCAGACTACACAGAGAAGCCACTGAAATCCACAAGCATATGGACAATTTCAACAGAAAGGAGGAAACCATGAAAATGAACAAAATCTGACGAACAGAATTTTAAAAAATTCTAAAATCAGGACAGAAAATAAAGAGCAACACTCAAAAAATGAGAATTCATGACATGAAAATCAGGGTCAGCTAACACCTTTCAACAAAGGATTTGCCCCAGGGAGGAAGCAGCCAGGCTTTGAAGCTGCAAGGCCATTCAATGCGATCAAGATGGCCAATTGCAACATTCACACTTGTCTCCAACAGACAAGAGTTCTTTCTCCCACCCTAGACAGATATATAAAACCCACTTGCTTAGTTTCCAACAGACCTCACAACCTCTGAGGATGCCTGCCATAGATGTGGGCGAAACGTCAGGAGAGAATGCTTCTGAAACATGGCCATACAGCCCGGAAAACTCACAGCAATCCAGCGATTCCAGCCATGAAAGCCTTCAACGATCCATTTAAAGCTTTGTCCAGTTTTCATAATGTGTGCACAATAAAATAGCACAACCTTTCTAGGCATGGAACATGGCTTGTCTTTACTGCATAGTTTTATTATTGTTATGAATGAATACACTTATGTATGAACTCACATAGTACATATATTGCTGTAAAGGTAAGATGCCAATTAACGTGTGCGCACACCCACAAACACACTATTATTCCTGATTACAGACACTTTCCTGGATGTTTGGAAAGATAGCCAACACTGTTGCTTATCTTAACACTTTACTAAAACGTATTTTTATAGGTACTATTTCCGTAAAGTGAGTGGCAGAAGGAACATGGGGGAGGGAGATAAGGCATGGGAGGAGACGATAAAAACATGGGGGAGAGAGTCTAATGATTAAACCTTTGGTGATGCTGTTGGCCTGTTTCAATGGCTCTGACAACTACAGAAAACGACCTGTGACTTACTCTCCCTCCAAAACCCTGGAGGCTAACTATCTTGATGTGATTAACCTCAACCTAGTCTTGACCTTTCCTTCAGGCAAGGCTTCATTGGCTTTGATGATAGTTGATCAAGAATGACCAAGGAGGCAGATGCAATCTATAAATTAAGCAAATTCAAAGCCAGACGAAGCCCAGAAGCCAGGATTAATCTCCTCCCACGCCCTTGTTCTCAAACTTGTTAATTGTGGGACAGAGTGGGGGATAATGGGATTTTGCAAGGCAAGAAAGACATTGTTTCCACCTTTCTAAGGTCCCAACTAGGAACTCTAAAAGCAAAAGATGGAGGAAGGGCCTGCTCAGGTTGCGTCCCATAAACCAAGCAAGCAAGCGGAGATATATTCTCTAGCAAAAGAAGAAGCAAGTAAGCAGCATCCAAGCCAGTCTCTTGAATATTCCTTTTTCCTAATGCACACATTGATGGTTGCAGCAGTGGATGATGTTACGGTGCACAATAATTTTTACATGGGTTGCTGTGAGTATTCCAGGCTGTAGGGCCATGTTCTAGAAGCATTCTCTCCTGATGTTTTGCCCACATCTATGACTGGAATCCTCAGAGGTTGTGACCTTACAACCTCTGAGGATGCCTACCATAGATGTGGGTGAAACATCAGGAGAGAATGCTTCTGGAACATGGTACAACAGCCCGGAAAACTCACAGCAATCCAGTGATTCCAGCCATGAAAGCCTTCGACAACACAATTTTTACATGCTTGCCAAACACATGAGTACACAAGAATTTTTATATGGCTGTCAAACATGTTGTTAGTAAAGCAGAACGAGCAGTTTTAGAATGGAGAGCAATTTCAACATGAGCTTCAAAAACCCCTCTTAATTAGTTAATTTTCAAAGCACTAGATGAATCCTTGTCATACCAAAAGTACAGTAAAACAAGAGAGGGAACAATGCCACCTTCCAAACTACACTCACCAGGATAGTCAAAAGTGAGGAATGCTGTGAACAATTCCCCAACAATAAATCGAGTGTAGCAATCACAGCCTTAAAGAGAGAGAAATACAAATGGATGCTTTCAGACCACTTGAGAAAGTGGGCTGCTGTAAGTTTTCCAGACTGTATGGCCATGTTCCAGAAGCATTATCTCCCGATGTTTCACCCACATCTATGGCAGGCATCCTCAGCGATTGTGAGGTCTATTGGAAACTGGGCAAATGGGGTTTATACATCTCTGAAATGTTCAGGGTGGGAGAAAGAACTCTTGTCTATTTAAGGCAGGTGTGAATGTTGCAACTGGCCACCTTGATTAGCATTGAATGGCCTTGCAGGTTCAACAACTGGTCTTTGTTCAAATTGGGTCCATCATTTTGAGACACGCTGTCTTATCCAGTACACCTATTGTCTCTGTTTTTAATGCCATACTGTTTCTGAGTTGTATATGCAACCATGAAAGCTGGACAATGAGGCAAGCTGAAGTGATGAGCAACTCATTTGAAATGTAATGCTGGAGTAAAAAAAATCTATAGATATCATTCACCACTAAAAAGATAAATAAGTTGGTTGATCCTATAGCAGATCAAGCCTCAATTCCCATTAGAAGCCAAAACAATTGAACAGAGGCTGTCATACTTTGGACATAAGCCATCCAAAAAAACAATAATGCTCAGAAAAGTGGAAAGCAGTAGGAAAAGAAGAGAAAGAAATCCACAGCCTGATTTTGCAAGGCAAACAGCCTCAGTAGATCTATGGATAACTGGGATCAAGGAAATCTCATATATACAGAGTCACCATAAGTTGAACAGATCGTTACGTTGTCTGCTAAAGTTGGCTCATGATGCCCTGTATCCCCTTGCTACTCATCTTCTTTCCCAAGAGACAGCAAGTGATCAGTTAAATGGGAAATAGAAGCAAAAAATTATTATTTCTGTTTTCTAAGGTGTGAGTGTGAAAAGAACCCATTTTTTTCCTGAATATTCATGTATGTACAACCACCCCAATGGTTCCCTATTATGCCAATTGCCTAAATAAGCTTTTTGTACTAAAGATCCCCAAATCCACTAGGTATGTTGGTTTGAGTTTCTGGAAATTGTTCCATTATATGCAAAAAAGATGCTGATATTTTTACTGGAGAACGGAAGACTTCTTGTTAGTATCCACATCTTCACTGAATGCAGCACATCTCAACCCCTTAAGAAAAGGAGATCAGCTGTGAAATTCTTTGTCTTTTGGGGGAAATGTATTTGCATATAAAATGTGGTTTTTCTGTACAGGTAAAGTGTTTTGAGGCAGAAAAAGTGCATTTTGCACAAATCATACTGATTCCTGTTCAAAACCATATTTTTTTCTCTCTCTGAAAAAAACATATGCTCGAAAATTGTACATGCTTTTCCTGAACAGAAATATGTATACTTCTGCAAAGTGCATTGATTTTTATGCCATATGTACATTTACATGGATTCCAGCACAGAATAGTTCCCTGCACATACTTTCTGCACAAAACCTAATATTTTTGCACATGAATCAGTGTGTTTTATGCAAAATATACATGCTTTCTGCTCAGGAAAAACCATGGCCATTTCTGTGCAAACTGATTTTCCTTAAAGTTCTGTGGGACTAAAAGCATTTGGAATTTGCAGTGAAACTGCTGTGTTCTTGCAGCGTGGGCAGCTAATTTTTTGCAATTATCAATTCCTGCACATTGTAGCAAAATAGGCATACATTTATATCAATTGTAGATACCTGTTTTCTGTTTACATAACCACTCTCAGTTCTGCTGCTAAGAGACTGCCCTGTGACTCAGAAATGCAAATGAAATTCCAGTTTGTGGAATGTAAAATCACATTTACATAGCAAGGCAAGCCAGAAGGATGATACCTTAAGAAATAGATCCAATGACTAGCAAACCAGTAAGAGAACTCCAGTTAACATCTAGAGATCTAATGTTGTAATGCAGGGAAGTTCACTAAAACTCTTCAGTAGAAAAAACTTGGTACCTCACCAGATGGCAAATTCCAGAAATCCATAGGACAGCAACTAAAGTCACCTTGAACTGCTATCACTGTTCAGTGTCAGTGCACCCACAGTTAAAAAGTGCTACAAGAATACTGTAAAT